CTATCTCAATATATTCTCCAGCTCTCTGTTATCTGGCTCACATTCATTTTCCAATCCTTCCCAAAGTCCATCTCAAGTTTTGTTTTAGACTTCTTTTTACTGAGGAGGCCCTTAAACATTGGCGTTGCCAGAGTTCCCATCCTGCTTCCCTAACCTCTCTCTCTATTGTCCTTTGGTGATGCCTTTCCCTCCTGAGCCTTCACTTTTCGCCTCTGTTCTGATAGCTTACAAACACTGCATTTCCAGCCCATGACTCCTTCCCAGCTAAATACCTGTGTATCCAGTTGTCCGCAGCTGTCACACAGTGAACCTACCTAACGCTAATGTCCAGAGTTGCTCTCGATTCCCTGCTTCTTGCTCTTGTGTTCTCTGCCTCCATAAGTGGAAACAATATCTTCCTAATCATGAAACTCAAATGCCAGGAACCTTCCTAGAGATTTCCATGGCAGAGCTATCTTCCTCAAAGCACACATTTCCAGCTCAATCCCCAGGTTTACTGCTTCAATGTCTCTTAAATCTTCTGTTCTTCATTTCCACTGTTCTTGCCTTAGATTCCTATCATTTCCCATCTAAAATTCAGGAAAAATAACTTGGTTTCCTGAGGTCAGGTGCATGATAAGTGAAATTTACCATAATTCCAACTCAGGGAACCTGAATGCAGAACTAGGCAATTGGTCAGATGTTATACTGTCTTCAAGTCCTTGCCAAGCTCTTAATTCCTAAATATATTGAGTTTCATCTCCACTCTCCATTTCTACTATTACAGACCCAGATTAGCCTGTTAACATCTTATTGGGACACAGAATAGTCTCCTTCTTGGCCTATTTCCTATGGTCTTGTTCCTTCAAAGTTCATCTCCACAAAACATGAACATTTAAAATGAAATTCTGATCATGTTTCTGCCCACCCGCCCTGGCTCCCTCATTATCCTCATGATTACACCCAACGTGCTAATTAAGGCACATGCATACTCTCACGAACCCCTCTTCTGACCCCCAACTTCCACCCATTTGGACTGATTTGTGGATCATAGTTCTTTTAAAGATAGATATAGGGAAGGTTTATATATTTACCCCTCAGGAAACACCAACACAGAACAAATAAATGAACATGTATATGATAACTTCTAACAGTATGCTGCCAGATGCTCTAAATGGGCTCAACTTGAAATGTTTACTAAGCTGCTGATTATAGTGTTGCTGCCAATTTTAATGGTAATTCCAATTATATGTTTATTTGATTACTTTCTTGCCTTCATTAAAAATATTAGTTTTTCACAAATGTAATTATGCTTGTAGGTATTTATTCACTCAAAAAGCATTTATTTAGAAAAAGTGTATAATACTTTCTCACAATTTTGTAGTTAAAAAACAACTAGGATAACAAGTAAGGAGTATTTATGATAAGAAAGAAACCAAAACAGAGGAAAATAAACATACTGCATTAATTTGTAGGAGAAGCATCAAATAAAATGGAGGATTTAGAAAGCTGAGGGTAGAGTAGCTATTAAAAATTAAAACAAGAGGATAGTGGCCTCGTGCTTCATAGAATTTTGGAGAAGTTAAGTATGTTAATAAGTGCAAAATGTAAACCAGGCATAGTGGCGCATGCCTATAATCCCTGCACTTGGGCAGCCAGCATGGGCTACATAGTGAGTTCAAGGCCAGCATGAACTACAAGGCAAGACCTGTCTAAAAAACAACAAACAAGCTCAAAATGTTTAGGACAATTCCTGGGACAAAGAAAACTCTCAATAGATGGTAGTCTAACATGAGACTCATCCAGGAAAACGCTCCATGAGTTCTTTGACAATGTTTACTCTGTTGATATTGGATGGAATTTTCTAGACACATTTGTAAGATCTCTTTGGTCTCAAGTATATTTCAATGCCAATGTTCCCTTATTGATTTTCTATTTGGATAATCTGTCCATTGTTGAAAGTGGGATATTGAAGTACACTACTATTATCGTATTGCAGTCTACCTCTCCTTTTGACTCTATTAATATTTACTTCAGATAATTAAGTGCTCTGACTTTAATTGGAAACCTATTTATTATTGATATATTCCAACCCCTTAATTATGAATTTTTGTCTCTTTTTCAGTTTTTGAAAAAAAGCTGATTGAACTGAAATAAGCCTGGGGATCTGATGGTACTGGAATGAGCCTGGAGGCAGGGTCTGTGGTGATATCCTGGGCCTCATTCCATGCAAATAAGCCTGCCACTGTGAACTAAAACCTGTGACCACAGGGCCCAGCATGGAGACTCAGTCTTCTGGTACTGTCTTGGTTCCTGAGGCCATGGGACTGGTCTGGATCTTTGCTCTACGGGTGCTGACCTAGTACTGGGATGGGGCTTGTGCTTGATCTATAGGTGGCAGGCTGTAGTCTGGGGCTGTAGAAGTGAGATTTATGGTATAGTGGACCTGAAGTCTAGGACTATGTAATCCAACCTGGCAATAAGCCTGTCTAAAACCTGGGAAGGGCCTGGAGCCTTGTCCATGGGAGCCAGCCTGGTGCTGGAATGAGCTTGAAACCGAGGCTATAGATGCTGTCATTATGGCGTGTTGGGTCCTAAGTAAGCAGGAGCTGGGCTGGTGCTAAGGTCCTGGGTGATGCCTTGGTGGTGGGGAGAACCTGGAACCTGAGTCCCCACATCTCACCCTGGAGTCTGGGACTGTAGAATCCAGCCTAGCACTAAGAAGGTCATAGAAAGTGGGCTCACAGGAGCAGATTCAGTTCCTGGGGGTTTGTGTGCGGGGCTGGAGCTGGTATCTGTGGAGGATGGCCTGGAGTTTGAAGATGTGAGGAGTCCATCTTGAGCTGTAGCTATGGTTCTAGCCTGGCACTGAGGGGCTGGAACTTCAGTCCTCAGTAACTGGCCGAAGTTTGCAGCTGTGGCACTGTCCAGCCACTGGTCTCACTGAGTAAGGTCTAAGTAAAATCAGTATTGACTTCACTCCCTTGTCTAATCTGGATGATGGCCCTCTGCACAGCGAGCTCATTAGGGCTGAGAGGGAAAGAGGTAAAAGATGTAATGTGAAAGTGTCCTGCTTATGTTCTGCCATAGACCACTTTTCTTTCCTCCTTTTTTCTCTTTTTCTTTCCTTTTTTCTTCCCATACTAGAGACTGAACCCAGTACCTTTGTGCTGAGCTATGTCCCCAGCCATTTTTTTAAACTTTTATTTTGAGGCAGGGTCTTGCTGAGTCAGTAAGTTTCCCAGGCTGAGCTCAAATTTTCAATTTTCCTGTTTCAGCCTCCCGGAGTGTTGGGATTATAGGTGCGTGCCACCACTCCCAGCTATATCTTTTCTTATTTTTTTATATATTGTAATCTCTCACCTAACTTCCTCAGCTCTTGTGAATATATCTGTGTCTGTACATAGTTATTCAGTTAATGTTTCTGCAAGGATATGAGTACTACAAAGTCCTATTTTGCCATTTCCCTGAAACCATTCTTCTGTGTAATCTCTAAGACTACATCACCCGGCATTCAATAAATACTAGTTATAAACTGGGTGTTGTGGCTTGTTCCTGTAATTTCAACACTCTGGCAGACAAAGGCAGGAGCAGTGCTAGTTTGAGCACAGCCTGGGCAAAGTAACAATTACTGAGATTCTGTCTCACCCCAAAAATAAAAAATAAAAAAGGACTGGGAATGTAGCTCAGTACAAAGGCTCTGGGTTTAATCCCCAGTACCCAAAAAATTAATATTAGTTATTACTATTAGCTATTATAGACTGCATATTAAATTCAATATGTTTTTGTTGGGTATCTCCTTAGTGAACATTTTACTAAATAGTAAGACAATAGCACTGAATTGATAAGACAAATATGATCCTTGACTTTTTGGAGTTTGCTATCTAAATGTCTATTTAATAAGAAATCTTAAGAAAAGTAGTGTTCTTTTTATTTTAAAACCCTCACAAGCTTATAACAACAACAAAGATTTATAAGTCTGTGAGATTACAGAAGTAATCTTCTATAGGAAGTAACCTTCCTACAGAAGTAATATTTAAGCCAGGGACTTGAAATAGAAATAGGAATAAATATAGCCGGGGGGGGGTGTTTTTTCTTGGTGTGTGAAGATGCACAATGTTCTTATTACGGTATGAGGGAGAGAAGACAGTAACAGAACAGTCCAGAAAGTAAAAGCAGGATAAAAGTGCCCTGTGATAAGAAGAAGCACAGACTGTGGAAAACCGAAAGTTGGCATCATGCCTGAAGCACAGTCGGGGAGAAAGGAACTTGCTGTGAGACCGTAGAAATTCCATACCTAAGCCAGTGGAAGATGCAAAGGCTCTGAGTAGAGAAGGCGCAATGGCTGGTTATTCTTCATGATTACCTTGGACATTTAGGTAGAAAATCTTAAGACTTAAAGGATGTGTGTATATATATATACACACATACACATATTCCATTGGCAATTATGTTCCCCATGCATAATAACCACCCAGTACCTGCTCCTGAATGCAATCCATGCTTCTGACTGAAGAAACAGGGTCCCTTCTCCATTGTTAGACAAGATATACATCTATTTTAGAAGCTGTCTGAAAAGGGAACTGAAACACCGATATTAACTACCTTCCCGCTGTATATTAGTCCATTTTCTATTGCCAATAAAACAATACCACAGAGCAGGTGAGCTATAAGGAAAAGATGTTTGCTGGCTCCCTGTTCTGGAGGCCCTGGGCTCTTCTCTACCTTAAATGTATCTAATCCTAATCTCCTCATATGCTCCACTCAACCTCTAAACACCTAACCGTAGTCAGATTTTCTGCCCTATAAATGCCAGGGCATGAAACTTTGGAGACATACTCAAACCACAACACATCAATACCGGCCTATAGTCATGTTGGCAAAGAATGTTTTCATTAAAAGTTTTGAAATTTTAACTAGGTTATTTAGGGTTTTGTAACAATTGTATATTGTTAAATGTTTTTAAAAATTCAAATAAAAAAAATGTGGGAGGAAAAGTAAATCTGCTGCTCCTTGGATTCCATGTCACCTTTTCCCCTCTCAACAAGCACTGTAGCATCTTGCCTACATTTCTAGTAGTTTTTAATGCACATAAAAGCATTTTTGTGACAGATAATAGTGTATAAAGGTTAAAAGAACAATGTTTGAATGTGGCTCATGCCCTACCCTTTATACTTAAAATCATTAACATGCGTAAAATAGTTTAAACAGTGTGTGACCTGTAAGCCTTCAGTGTTAGCTTTGTTCTTTTACTTTCTTCTTTATACAAATGGGAGTATACAACTTTCTGTTCAGCAACTTGCTCTTGATTGTTAATATATTAACTTTGAAAGCTTGCTATGCTCTGAACCCTTCATGTGAATTGCTTCATTGAATCCTCATGGTGACCTTTAGGATAAGTGCGAGGACTATCCCTATTTTTCAGATCACAACTCAGACGAAGCACAGAGAGTTATTGTGTAGTTTCCTCAAATTACTGTTCTGAACCCTAACAATCTGACTCCAGCATCTTCCCTCTTAATTTCTTTTCCGTACTATCTTTCAGATAAAGCTTTGAGTTTTACTTGTTTTTTAACAATGCTTTGTTATACTCTTTTGGACCAAAGTTGATAAAATCTCAGAACAGAATATTATGAAGAACAGATTCAAGCATTCAAAAGTATCATCCAAGAACAAATATCATGTTTTACTTTAGCTCTAAAAGTTACACCCACTGTGGTAGATATGAGCAAAAATGAAGAAACTTCTTGGAAAACAAACTCTTTGGATCAAGAAAAGGTCTCAAATTGTTTTCAATTTTCATATCCCACAAGTGAAACTTACCAACTATTTTTATCATATTCTTCAAAGAAGGTAAGACTTTCAAACACTTAACAAAGAGATTATGATGGGATATATTTCAAGCTAACCAAATCTACTCTTTAGATATTTAGAGAAAATAGAGATCATACAAGAGATAAAAGAAAATAAGATATCAAATCCTCAAGTAGGTAGCTAAGGCATCAGGAAGAATAGCATAAATAGGGAGGCCTCCGATGGTAACTTGGGTGGTAGAGCATCACATGGTAGTAGTGAGCAGGGAACGTGTACTGAGAATTCGGAACATACTTTTTAAGTGACCATTTAGTTTATACAATCATCATAATTACAATGAAGAATTGTACTGAGGGACTTGGGGAATTCTTTGCAATGCCTTAGAATGAGGGCTGTTTGCTTATTATGAAGTATGTCTAAAGTAATAATGTCATGAAATTTTATTCATACAGATGAAAGTGGTCTACTAACTTTGTAACCATGCTTTTAATCTATGATGAAAATGTGTTCGATTTTTGATATTTAACCCAGATTTTGAAGTTTGTTTCACCACCATTGGAATAAATATAAAATAATTTTTTAATAAGTATCACAACAGTAATGTGCTCATTCTTCCTTTTCTAATATTGCAGTCACCTATTTAGACACCTTATTGAAAATAATAATAATTAACTCTTAATACTTACATAATGCCTAATTGTGTGTAATTGTTTTGTATGGGTATAAACACTGCCATCTACCTAGTGTTTAGTTGGAAATCTTCTGAATTATTCAGTAAATATTTAATTGTATACTTATTATGTGACCAGACACTGTCCTAGGTACTTAGAATGCTTTTGTGACTCAAGCTGAGAAAGATTCTTATCCTCATGCAGCTGAAAGCTCAAAAGACAGATAGCCAACAACAAGAAAAGGGGGAGGTTATATAGTATTTAGAAAATTATAAGTAGTGTACAAAAAGGCAAAGTAGAACTACATTAGGAAAATCTGCAGAGCCGGTGGGTGACGGTACTAGAAACAAAGTTCAGTGGGCATCATTTTTTTTTTTTATTTTAAAGAGTAAAAGAAGGATAACATAATAATAGGGGGGACTTAGCA